TTTAATGAGAGCATAGAAAGGAGCAGCCAGCATCCTGGGGAATACCTCCATGTTTGAAAGAGAAAGATGAATTAGAATCTTAGATCTGTACTTTTTAGAGCTAATTTGCTCTAATGGGTTTCTTGATGTCAGATTTGTTTTTGCAATCACTATACTACTTAAGCTAGTCTTAAGAATTTCAAATATCTTAAAATAAAGAGGAATAGCCAGGCATCGGTGGCTCTAGCCTATAATCCCAACTACTCAGGAGGCTGAGATCTGAGGATCTCAAAAGCTAGCCCTGGAGAAGCTTATCTCCAATTAAACATCAACAAGCCAGAAGTAGCCCAGTGTGGGTGGCTCACACCTGTAATTGTAGCTACTCAGGAGACTGAGATCTGAGGATTACAAGTCAAAGCCAGCCCTGGCAGGAAAGGTCATGAGACTGATCTCCAATTAACCCCCAGAAAACCACTCTCTTTTTTTGTATTGTTGTGTGTGTGTGTGTGTGTGTGTGTGGAAATACTGTACAGAGGAGTTACAATTACATGAGCAAGGTAATGAGTACATTTCTTTTTTTTTGGGGGGGGGGGTCCAGTCGTGGAGCCTGAACTCTGGGCCTGAGTGCTATCCCTCAGCTCTTCAGCTCAAGGCTAGCACTCTACCACTTGAGCCACAGCACCACTTCCGGCTTTTTTCTTTTTGCTTATGCGGTGCTGAGGAATCGAACCCAGGGCCTCAGGCATGCAAGGCAAGCGCTCTACCACTGAGCCAACTTCCCAGACCAATGAGTACATTTCTTATCAAGCATTGTTGCCTCCTCCTTTGTTTCCCCTTAGCATCCCTGCCCTCCATGATCCCCCCTTTCTCTCCCGGCCCAGAAGTAGTTTTCTGAGCACTACCCTTGAGTGAAAAAGCTCAGAGACAGCTCACACACACAAAGAAAGAGAGGAGGAGACACCTCCAAGTTACTATGTATGATTTCAGTGGACCATAAACAAATGCTAAGCCATAGACAGACTTTTAATGTATTAAAATGCTGCTTAATTTAATATAGAGCTATGGTTTTAATGTGCCCATCCCCAAAAGTTCATGGGTTGGAAATTTAATCCCCAGACTCACACAGTGATACTTGAATGAGGTCTTTAGGATGTAAGGGTTATGAGAGTGGGCCCTGTGACAGGGGTGGTGCCCTTGTGCTTTTTGTAAATTATGTAGGCTCAGGTATTATAGAGAAGCTGAAAACCACCTCAGGCTAGCAACTCAGGAGGCCGAGATCCAAGAATCACAGCTGGAAGCCAGCCTGTGAAAGAAAGTCCATAAACCTCTTATCTCCAATTAATCACCAAAAAAAGGGGAGGGGAGGGGAGCTATGGTTCAACTGGTAGATCACTAACCTTGAGCAAAAAAATGTCAGGGACAACATCCAAACCTGAGTTCAAGCCCCAGGACCTGTATCAAATCCTTTCTAACTAGATTAAGTACTATCATTTGTAAATGGTACTGGGCTTGATCTGAAAGAAATAATCCCTGTTGCCCTAGGGTTTAGCAATATCCTACGAGATGACTGAGCTAATCCAACTCACAATTCTAGCACTGCTCTAAAGCAGAGTTAACCTATACAACATTTAATAGACTTTAACATATAATCATATACATATATGTGTATGAATGGCTACTAATAAATATGTAGATAGCTACTAATAAACATCTATAATGAAACAGTGCCCACAAAAGGAACAAAAAAACTGAGAAAACTTAAATAGAAATGAAATGCATCAGCTGGGCGTCGGTGGCTCCCACCTGTAATCCTAGCTACTCAGGAGGTCGAGGTCTGAGAATCACGGTTCAAAGCCAGCCCAGGCAGGAAAGTCCTTGAGACTCTCATCTCCAATAAACCACTAGAAAAACTAAAGTGGAGCTGTGGCTCAAGTGGTAGAGCACTAGCCTTGAGCTGAAGAGCTGAGGGACAGTGTCCAGGCCCAGAGTTCAAGCCCCAAGACCGACAAAACAAACAAACAAAAAACAGTGCATCTGACCATATAAAATATTTATTAAAATGAACTTCAGGAAATGAGGCATCTTTTTTGTTGCTGTTTTTGTCTTCTTTTTGTATTGTTGGGTCATATCTATCTTTGGTAGGGTAAGGGGGAAGACATAGAAATGGAAGGACAAAAGTTGCAACAGTGGTACTCACTGGACACTGTGAAAATGAACTATACAACTTGTGGGTGGGCATGGGAGGAGAAAACTTAGAGCAAGGGAAGGGGTGACACTGTCCAAAAAGAAATGTACTCATTACCTGACATGTAACTGTAACCCTTCTGTACAACACCTTTATAGTAACAATAAATAAAACAGAAGAAATGTTTTAAAATTACATGTATTAGATGACAGAGAATTAAGCTGATTAGAAGTGTCCTTGTCATCCAGACACCAGTGGCTCCTGCCTGTAATCCTAGCTACGCAGGAGACTGAGAATTTAGGATCACAATTCAAAGCCAGCCTGAGCAGTAAAGTCCCTATGAGACTCTTATCTCCAATTAACCACTCAAAAAGAAAGTGGAGCTGTGGTTCAAAGTGGCAGAGCAATAGCCTTGATTAAAAGAGTTCAGGGACAGTGCTCAGGTCCTCAGTTCAAGCCTCACTACTAACCACTCCCCCCCCCCAAAAAAAAGTCCATGTCATGTAAAGTTAGGAAGTTATAGAAAAATAAAGTCTAGACAGGCACTGGTGGCTCACACCTGTAATCCTAGCTACTCAGGAGGCTGAGATCTGAGGATCACAGTTCAAAGCCAGCCCGGGCAGGAAAGTCCATGAGACTCATCTCCAATAAACCACCAGAAAACCAGAAGTGGCGCTGTGGCTCAAGTGGTAGTGAGCCAGACTTTTGCTGAAGAGCTGAGGGACAGCGCTCAGGCCAAGAGTTCAAGACCCATGACCGACAAAAAAAAAAAGTCTAAAGGCTTAATAATAATATACTGTGAAGGGATCATCAACAACTCACATGGAGTAAGGCTTACTTGAATAAACACTGAGAAGCACCTGCTTTCCAACACTCTTTCCCACTTGGCCAGGTTAATTAGCACAACCATTCTGCATAAATCAAGGTATTTTTCAAGATTTGGCTGTACTTACTTTTTACATAATTGAACTTATGTGACTGTGGAGGCTTAGGTCTTTTAAAATCTAGGCTCAGGTGATCCTAAAAGAATTTTCAAAGCACTGTCCTCAACCTAAAGGAACTGGAAAGGACTAGAAACTAAATGAGCTGAACTTGAAAAAAATTTTAAAATGTAATTTTTTTTTTCCTTAGAAGACTAAGGTTTCAACTTAGGCAGGCACTCGATCAGTTAAGCCACGCTCCCAGCCCCCCAAAAATTAGATTTCTGTATTTATTTAACCACTACACTCCTAATTAGAAACAGCATTTTTCCACGGGGCACACACTCAATACAGAATGGCCAAACAACTCAGTGATCTTCTGGGATATATTCCAAGTCAACCTGAATTCACTACATATCTATTTGGAAATAGTGCTGGGCACTAGTGGCTCACTCCTGTAATCTTATCTACTTAGTAGGCTGAGATCTGAGGACAGTTCAAAGCCAGCCAGGGCAGGAATGTCTGTGAGACTCTCCAACTAAAAACCAATTCTTTGACAAAAAAAAAAAAAAAAAAGCCATAAGTGGAGCTGTGGCTTAAGTGGTATAGTGTTAGCCTTGAACACAAAAGCTCAGGCCCTGAGTTCAAGCTCTAAGTCCAGCACCAAAAAAAGAAAAGGAAAAGGAAAAGAGAATCTCCCACCAACTGGAGAAACTATGACTGAATGACTAAACAGGTTATGAAGCTAACTGTGTATACTTGTTTGGGGGAAAAGTTTTTACTCTTCAGGACCCTGTTATTTTAAAAGTAATATATATGCCTATTACTTGGGCTGGGAAGGTGGCTCCGTGGTAGATCACTTGCCTTGCATGCGTGAGGCCCTGGGTTTGATTCCTCAGCACCACATAAGCAGAAAAAGCCAGAAGTGATGCTGTGGCTCAAGTGGCAGAGTGCTAGCCTTCAGCTGAAGCTGAAGAGCTGAGGGACAGCACCCAATCCCAGAGTTCAGGCCCCAAGACCCACAAAAAATAAATATATAAAAAATAAAATATATATGTGTATTTACATATATACCTATATGCCTATTGCTAAATGGCAGAATAAATACAGGGACACAGCACGTTACGTGTTTTTATCTTCTTAAATCCCTCCTACACAGTGAGAGAACCAAGTGCTGACATACAGGTAGGTGCTGTTTCCTCAGGCCTTCCTGCGTCACTTGAGGCTCCTGTGCTGGTCTGCCTCGTGGCCCTCGCAGATGGCAGATCTTAGTCATCTATCTGACGTTCCCATCTTGTCTGTAGGGACATCTGGAGTCAACAGCTGGTCTTCCACAGCAAGTTCATCACTCTACAAGTCACTTCTCAGAGGACACAAACATCCACGCTGCCTCAAGGCTCCCAAACTCCTGATGACCTTTAGCTCCCAGGAACCCCAGCGAAGACATAGGGAAGTGACAGAATCACAGGAAGGCTGGGATGCCACACACAAGACCACAGCCCCATCAGTATGAATGGTTTCTGGTCACATCATTGCTTAACTGCTTACAAACATCAACATGGTTTGTTTTGTAAAAAATAAAGCACTAAAAATGTTAATAAGTTATGCCTTTATTTTTCATAAGAGAAAAAATGACAAGTGGCAACTTGCCTTTATAAGAGACATTAAACAATATTAGAATAAAGAGCTATCTGTCTCATAGAGATAGAAGCCTCAGAAAGAATATTATACAGCTTACAAACAAAGAATTATTAAATAAATCCAAGAATAATACACTTCTTTTTTGGTGGTACCAAGGTTTGAACTCAGGGCCTTGTGCTCACTTAGCTAGCATTCTACCACTTGAGCCATGCCTCCAGTGTGGTTTTTTTGCGTGTTAACTGGAGATTGAGTTTTGAGGATTTGTCTGCCCAAGCTGTTCTTGAATCACAATCCTCCAGATCTCAGCCTCCTAAGTAGTTAGGATTACAGGTGTGAGCTACTAGTGCCCAGAGACTATACATTTAACTAGATCAAAAATGATGACATGAAAAAAAAATGATCAGATGGAACCCATCAAGTGGTGTTTGACGAAGAAAAAGGAATATCTGGAAATCCACATACTGGGTATTCTCTGTTAAAATCAAGGAGGCTCGACTCCTAAAAAGAAAAAAAAATATGTTAAAACACAATTACTTTGAAAGAATCCCCTAAAGGTTATTACGGGTTCACTTTTTAAAAATTTCTTTTCTTTTTAAATTAGCAACACTGGAGATGGAACCCAGGGCCTTTGCAATCTAGACAAGCACTCTGCCACTGTGCTACATTCCCAGATCCAGAGGCACATTTTAACATTTTATTAACTCAAGACACTTTTTTCTCATTCTTGGAGATTATGAGAATGGCAAGGCAGATATCAGTTTCCACAATGGCTCTTCAAGTTTTAAATTTCAAATATGAGCCAGAAATCCTAATTAAATGTTTACATAACAGGTTACAGAGAAATTGCACACTTGCTTAATTTTTACACTTCATGATTTAACAATACATACACTTTTGAAAGAGCCAAGTTTATAGTATGAATAGAGATATGTAAAACTACATCATCCTTCTTATAAAGTAGGAGAGATCATTTCTAAAATGAAGATGTTTGAAACAAAACAAAGTGGCGGCTTGGGTAGGTCACAGGATATTACAGAAGAGCTCGATTCATTTCAGTTCTCCTTTACTTGGGTATCTTGCTCTAAACTTCCTTAGGTCTACTTTATGATAAAAAGAGGCAGATGGGTCTCTAAGCTTCTTTTCAACTATGTAACTCAAAAATTCTACTCAGGAGGCAAACACAGAAAGATGGAGAATTTAAGTCCAGCCTGAGCTACATAGCAAGACTATTTCATAAAAGCAAAGCCAAACAAAATGCCTCAATAATTCTTGAAGTTTGTAAGAAAAAAATTTTTAGTGTCACATTTTTCAGGAACTGTCACTACTCAGTATCCTGACAACAGGCATATTGCATAACTTTTTTTTTTTTTAAATGCTGGCTGGGGCTTGAATTCAGGGCTTTGTGCTGTCCCTCAACTTTTTCCCCCTCCCCCCTCAACTTTTTCATTCCAAGCAGGTGCTCTATAACTTGAACCAAGCCTCCAGTTCCAGCTTTTAGCTGTTTCATTAGAGATAAGAGTCTCAGGGGTTGTCTGGCTCGCTGGCTTTGAACTGTGACTCTCAGATTTTGGCCTTCTGAGTAGCTAGGATTATAGCATGAGCCACCAGCACCTGACTGTATCTCATCATTTTACTATCATAAAGAAGAGCTATTTAATAGGCAAAATTTTATCTTCTAATCTACTTATATACTACAACACAGAAAATAATTGTCTCTTCAGTCCTGACTTTAGAAGCAATCTCTGAAATAGTCAACAGAAAATCCAAAAGCAAGGAAGGTAGTGTAGACATTTAACCTTTTTTCTCTTGGCCTATACACCACTCTGATAGTTTAAACTCAACAATCACCTAAAAATTGTCCTGCATCCTATCTGACTATACCAAGAAATGGCTTTTCTGACATCTTATGGAAATCCTTCTGAGAAAAATCTTCCATTATTGGAAGATTATTTATTAGAATATATTAATGTATGGTAACTGAAACAAAATCTCTCAAGTAGCAAAGTCCTGGAGAACCAGAGTTCAAGCAGTAAGATTAATAATATCTCTTCCTTCAGCAGGATTACCTGTTTAATGTTGAAAACAAGAATTTTCAGGTCAGGTCAAACTTTAGAGTAAGTGCTTACAGGAAGTTGAAGGTTTTGGTTCTACCAACTTTCATGTTTAGGAAAAAAGAAAGAGGCTAACAATCATATTATGGCCAATTGTGCCAGTCTACTCCTGTAATTCCAGCACTAGGGAGGCAGAGACAGGAAATCCTTAAGTTTGAACCCAGCCTGAGCTATACAGCAAGATCTTGCTAATCCTCAGGAGATGGACAGAAATTACACACTCTATTGAACATTCTGTAGCACGTCTTTTCTTTCTTTTTTTTTTGGTCCGTCGTGAGGCTTGAACTCTGGGCTTGGGCGCTGTCCCTGTGCTCTTCAGCATAAGGCGAGTGCTCTACCGCTTGAGCCACAGCGCCACTTCCGATTTTCTAGTGGTTAATTGAAAATAAGAGTCTCACAGACTTTTCTGCCTGAGCTGGCTTTGAACCGTGATCCTCAGATCTCAGCCTCCTGAGTAGCTAGGATTACAGGAGTGAGCCACCGGTGCCCGGCTTGTAACACATATTTTTATTACAACCATTGATTAATGAGAAGACTTTTGCTTTCATGTTATTTTTATGCTGCAAACTTGGTAGTTAACCATATTCATTGCAGAGAGAGCCTAATTTGAAAATGCAAGGATAATGAACATAAAAATGTTTTACAGGGGAAGAACGATGAATGGTATAACATCAGTCAAGATGCATTGTATTCATAAACTGATGTGCTCAATGATAACTTCTTTGCAGAATTTATTAAAAATAATGTTTTAAAGCGTACTTGACAATTCACTTCAGGACAAAATAAAGCATTATTTGTTATAAGGTTGAAAAATTAAAAACCAAATACTTTACAAAGAATTACATACATCATGTATAAGTAGACCTGTATTTCACCACAAGCAAAATGAGAAGTTGACATCCCCAAATGGATTCTCAAAACTTCCCCTAGTTCCCAAATTCTTTTATATGAGTAATATGCTCTAATTCAATTAGATATATGTATCACTTACTGTTTATTAAAGTATCTATGGATATAACTGTGTTTTTCTAAATGTTTCATTAGTGATACTCAGTCTTGTAAGTCTGGTTCCATAGTAATCTATAATGTAACTAGTTCCATCTGAAGGTCCAACAATCTAGAAGAGATAAATTTTCAAAATTATTCATTTTACAAAAGATAATTCACAGTACTTTTGAGTTTTCTTTTCTCAATTATTAATAAGATTATTTCAGTACCAGAAAAATCCAACTTAAGAAAAAAAAGCTGAGTGGATTATGTAACTAGAATGTACTAAAGCAGCTCCCAACAGAAAAAGTAAAATTTCCTTCCCTAGTGCTAATACCCCAATTCCAGGGCAAGATTTTCATTGGTTTGCTTGCTTTTTATGACTACTACTAGACAAAGTGCTGTATCCAAGGAAATAGAATTTGATATGATTGGCCAGACGAGGCTCTCTATGGGAGATGATGCTGTGTAACTGCAGCGTTCACCCCTGCCAGAACCACCTGCAATGAGAGGAAAAAACAGAACAACAGCAAAAATTCACACATGTTCACTATGATCATCTTGTTCACTTAATCACACTTGTGACAATCTACTTAGGATTGCTACAAATCATCCTTTAAAGTAGCAATCTTCAAACTGTGGCCTTAGCAATAAACAAAGATACGCCAGGTTGTAAGTGGATCAGAGTTTCATAATGATCAATTCTGAAATACTGGATTGCCACAAAAACTCCGTAAAATGACCTGCCTGATTGCAGGCTATGGTGAAGGTGTTACGCTAGTTTGGCTTCCCACTTCCCCTCATTGCAGTCCTTTTTCCAGCTTGTTAAAATATAGTAGAGGAGACCTATCATTCACATTCAGAGCCTACCCTGAGTCTTACTCTGGCATAGTTCCCTCGCATCTAAAAACCTCTGAAGTGCCAAGCCTTGGGAGAATTCAAATCTTGGACTTAGGAAAACCTCTTCTAGCTTTGTTTTGTTGGTTTTTTTTAACTGCATTGTTTGTTTTTTTCTTTACTGGTACTGGAAATCCAACTCAGGATGTTGCACTTGCTAGGCAAGCACTTTGCCACTGAGCTATATTCTAGCCTAAACTTTAACACTCAAAAATACGTTCTGCCACATTTTATTCAAAAGATCTATTTCCTAATAACATTTTACTTCTTTTTTTTAATTCATTCATTCAGTGCCTGTACTGGAGCTTGAAATCAGGGCCTGCCATTCTCACAGCATTTTTGCTCATAGCTGGCACTTTACCACTAAAGAGCCACACCTCCAGTCTTTTTACTTACAAATAACTTGCTTGACATAGTAACATATTTATAACATATTAATAATGCTTCTATTAACTGTCTCATTAATAACTGATAGTTCAATCTTGAAATCATAGAAAAGCATTAATTTTAATAACAAAAATGATTAATTGAAAGCTTTGAAGCATAAAAATACAAAAGACTGAAATAAAATCTGGTGGAAGAAGGGGCATAGAAAACAAAATACAAGGAGAAAAAAAGTTACGTCAAAATTATAATGGTTTGTGTTTATTCGTGTTTTTAATGGATGATGTTTTAAATTCTAGGGTATTTATATTGTCAAGTACATTTAAAGATTTACATAACAGTTTTATTTAAATATGTCAATATTTGATATTACATTTAAAGTTATGGTGGAAAATGTAAATGTCAATTTAAAAATATGGAGAGGATACAAACTTTAAAAAAAAATAAGGGGTTATAAAAATGGAGTTTGAAGAAAACTACCATGTAACACTCCTCATTTAAAAAAATGATTCTGGGGCTGGGAAGGTGGCTCAGTGGTAGAGTGCTTGCTTTGCATGCATAGGCCCAGGGTTCAATTCCTCAGCACCACATACATAGAAAAAGCCAGAAGTGGTGCTGTGGCTCAAGTGGTAGAGCACTAGCCTTGAGCTGAAGAGCTGAGAGACAGCACTCAGGCCAGCCCAGAGTTCAAGCCCCATGACTGGAAAAAAAAAAGAAGAAGAAGAAGCTGAAACTTGAGGACCATGGTGCCAACCTGGGCAGGAAAGCCTGTGAGACTCTTATCTCCAATTAACTCACAAAAAACTGGGAAGTGAAGCTGTGGCTTAAGTGGTAGAGCACCAGCAAAAAAGCTGAGAGATAGTACCCAGGACCTGCGTTCAAACTCCAGTATAGGCACAAAATAATAATAATAGTAGAATAAGACAACATATTATATTTGGTTATAGCTGAAGACTAATTTATTTTCCCTCAAGCTGACAGCAGTCTAACGTGGCCAAACTTTTTTCTTTCCTGACAGTCCTGGGCTATGAACTCTGGGCCTCCAGCTTCCTAGGTAGGCTTGATATCACTGGGCCACACGTTCAGCCATTTCACTGGTTATTTTAACATAGTCTTGCTTCCCACCCGGGTATGCACACTGCCTAGTTTAGGCTTCTGGTCATCGATGGAGTCACAGGGCCACACAACCATGTCCAACTTTCCTCCATGGAGATAGAGCCATACTTTTTTTCTCATTGAGTTGGCCCTAAACCACCATCATCACAGTCTTAGGCTCCCACGAAACTTCCACGTAGCCATGACAGGCATGGACCAGTAAGTTCAGCTGGGGGTTAAGAAGGAGTCACAAACTTTTCTGCCCCAGCTGGCCTCAAACTGATTGTGAGCCACCAGTGTCCAGCTAACCCTGCCATACTATTAAATGTCTTATTTGTGGAAATCTACTGCAGAAATCAGTTTAATTCTATCTCAATGATTTCTTAATGTGATAGTCTCAACTCCAAGAGCTCTTTAAGAACAATTTACTGTGAAAACGTTAGATAGAAAGTTAACAGAAAGCAGTAGCTGAAGCAAATCAGGTCCACAATTTGCTATAACGAAAGCAATACAACAAAGACAATGTCATCAAAGGGAATCTAGAATAAAAACATTAACTGTAGGTTATTTGCAAAGACCCTTTGAATTTCTGGATATCTTAACTTAAAGAATGCAGTAGTACATCAAACTCCTTAGATCTTCATTTCAAATGAGAAACCCATTTGTAAGCATACGTGCCAAAGTACCTTAGCCTCTTCATGCCTGCTTGCCTGTCCCACAGTTAGAAATGGCAGGATATTTGGTTAGGCATATGTTTATGAGTAAAGGCAGGGAAATTCCAACTTTAAAACCAAATATTTTCCTTGCTTAATTCTGGTATCTTATTGGTCCATATGCTGCCTCCTCCTCACAGTATGGTACCAAAATCTCTTTGATTTCAACTTTCTTTTAGAGCATAAGATAACAGAACTGCAGAGTGGAAATACTGGATGAGAAAGCAGGGCAAAGCAGATGATGATTTAAATGCATACTGACACCCTTGCTGAAGACATTAGGTGATCCATAAATGCTTGTTGAAGTACTGTTTGGCAATATTTGTTCTATAAATCATCTTCTTTAATTTTAAAATTCTTAAGAGTTATCCACAACCAGTTTAGTGTAACTTAACAGAAGACAGCATGTGGCACTTTCAAGTACTCACGATAGGACTACTCAAACTCTGCCTGCCCTCATACCCACTATAGCAGGAGAAAGTGAGGCAGAAATACATATGAATGTCACATCATCTGAATGAACTTGGTCATGGTCGAGGCCAGTCCCAGTCCTAGACATTCTACAGAACACCTATATGCTCCTTTTTAACTCTGTAATCTAGCTAGATTTGTTTCTGTAGTTTACAATCAGTAGAATATCATAGAGTGATTGTGCAGCATAAAAGGAAATTCTGCTTTTGCCTCCACAATGCTCATCTGTATGTCTCATCAATGTCTAGTTATTGTAATTGACAAAGTAACTAATTAATAAATAGTAAGTCTGAGTAAGTTTGAGAATAAACAAAAAGGAACGTTGAGAATTTGCTGCAATGCTTCTTAAAAGACACAACACAATACACATTATAAAGATTCTGAAAAGTTTAATAAAGAACTCTCTAACTCAGTCCAATGTACATCTACAAATCATATTTGAGCATGAAATCTTTTTCAGTAGCTGTCTTAATCTTTTAGAGAAATAAGTTTGAGAAATGCTTGTTGGAAAGATGACTTTGATATGATCTCTTAAAATCAGCATCCAAATAAAAACTAAGGACAGGTGCTTGTGGCTCATACCTATAATTCTAGCTACTTAGGAGGCTAAGATCAGAAGATTACAGTTTTGAGGCCAGCTCAAGCAGGGAAGTCCATGGAACTCTTATTTACAATTAACTAACAAAAAACCAGAAGTAGAGCTGTAGCCCAAGTAGTAGCCCTAAGGAAAAAAAGGTAAGAGACAGTGCCTGGGCTCTTAGTTCAAGCCCTGTACATTCACAAAGAAAGGAAGAAAGGAAGGAAGGGAGAGAGGGAGGGAAAGTGGGAGGTAGGAAGGGAGGGTGGGAGGGAGGGAAGGAGAGAGGGTAGTCCAAAACAAGCATTCCTATCTGCTTCCTAATATATCTAAAATTGTAAATATACCAGTAGAGGCCAAGTGGCTCATGCCAGTTAGTAATCCTAGCTACTCAGGAGATGGAGATCTAAAGATCGTGGTTTGAAGCCAGCCTGGACAGGAAAGTCTGTGATACACTTATCTCCAATGAACTATCAAAAGCCTGGAAGCAGAGCTGTAGCTCAAGTGGTAGAACACTAGCCTTGAGCAAATGAAGCTCAGGGACAGCTCCCAGGCCCTGAGTTCAATCCCCAGGACTGGCACCAGAAATAAATTTTGTATGTATGTATGTGTATGTACACATACACATATACCAGCTAATACCACACACACACATATACACACACACATACCAGCAGAGGATCAATAAATTCAATTTTGAATGTACAACTAATTTGTATTTCAGATTGAAACTAACTTACCTGCATTGAAATAAGAATAAAATCAATTAGGCTCCCAATTCCACAAAATCCTACAGTGCAAAACTTTAATAAACCTAGAAAAGAAGCTGAAGTTATTTATGATTATAAAACTCTTATGTAACAAAACTTTTCCATTTTCTAATAAATAATAGAGTATACCAAAAAATAGAGTATACCATACTCTATAGTAAGAATATAAAAATACTTTATAAAAACTAAATCTTTTACCTAAAAACATGCAAAAACTTTATATATAAAGAAAACCCCAAGTAAGTTTATTAACTTATTACATGAAATAAAATCATGAATTTATTCACTTAGTAAATATTAGTTATTTTTAAAATGTCAATGCAATGTTATAAAATTTCTTGAGAAAATGCCTAGAGACATAAATCTTTAAATCTGAGTATACCAGGGTAAGTTAGCTAGCCTAATATGCTTACAACTCTGGCTTCCTCAGCACTGTACACATACCAACGAACAACAAACCAAAAAAGAAACAACTCATTGTATCAAAATTACGCTTACTTTTTTTGCTGTTGTTATTGGTCATGGGGCTTGACCTATGGTCCTGGGCGCTGTCCCTCAGCTCTTCAGCTCAAAGCTGGCACTCTACCACTTGAGCCACAGTGCCACTTCCAGTTTTCTGGTGGTTTATTGGAGATAGGTGTCTCACAGCCTTTCCTGCCTGGCTGGCTTTGAACTGCGATCCTCAGATCTCAGCCTCCTGAGTAGCTAGGATTATAAGCGTGAGCCACCAGCACCCGGCATAAAAGTAAACTTACTATACCAGAATAACAGAACATCTTTTAACACCAGAGTACTTACTGATGATATATTACATGATCAGCTATATATTTCAATATTTAAATAAGCAAATTGTCATGCCACAAAAAAATAATGAGGAAAATATTGATCTTATTGTAAAACTGCAAAATTCAGTTCCTCAAATGTATTCTAGATTATTTTTTCCCCTTAGAATTCCTGTTTATTAGCTATACAATCAAAATCAAAAGTTTAAAGCTAGTGCCAGTGGCTCATGCCCATAATAGTAGCTGTTCAAGAGGCTGAGAGCTGAAGATCAAGGTCTGAAGCCAGCCCAGAAAGAAAAGTCCATGAGACTCCTATCCCCAATTAACCAATAAAAAGCCTGAAGTAGACCTTTGGCTCAAGAACACTAGCCTTGAGCAATAAAGCTCAGGGATAGCACCCAGGCCCTGAGTCCAAGCCCTAGGACTAGCACACACAAATACATATATTTAACAGACTACAAGTTTCATACTAATTTGTTTTTGATGAAACACACTTACCCAAGGCAGGGTATCCAAGATAAAATCGATCTGCTCCCAACCATCCAAGAAAAAGAGACAATGCAACTGCTACTTTGTATGAATAGCCATTTCTGCACAAAATTAAAATCTGGGTGTTAGGTATTTTCAACATATAAACATTTTAGAAAACAAAACTGTAGACTACCATTAATTCATTAATTGCCTCATTATTTCCATTAATGCTTTATGGATAACTATATGTCATAGGCACTATTCTAAGTTATTGAGATAAATTAATGAATAAAAGCAACAAAGATTGGTGTCCCTCAGGTGCTTGCATTTATGTGGCAACAAGCAAAATTACAAAATATTTTTGAAAGTAAATCATATTGTTTGCAAGTCATAAATGATATAGGGAAAAAAACATCTAGGTTTGGTAGTATGTACCTGTCATCCCAGATACAGCAGGAAGTATAAATAGGAGGATCAGGGTCCAAGCTAGCTTGCATAAAATCAAGACCTTATTTTAAATCTAACCATAGCAAAGAGAGTTGAAAGTATAACTCAAGTGGAAAGAGCACTTGGCTAGCCTGTGTGAAGTCCTGAGTTCAACTGTAATACCACACACACACACACACACACACAC